AATATATATATAATTATATATAAATAATATGCGATACGGTGCTGATCCGACCAAACCAATATGGCGGTTCTCGAGATGTCACGTGTCAGTCATGAATACCCAGGCATTAGATGACATGATACTCCACAGACTCCGATGGCAAATATTGGATAAAAAACGGAGTGGGTAAAGCTATGATGTTCCGTCAGGGGTCGTCTATAGCCTTCTTTACAGTATTAAATAAAATTATGAAATTGGAATAACCGCGTCCTTCCAAAGCCGCCTACGTAAGTATCGTGTGCGTTTACGACTCTCTAGATTTTCACTACGTTCCTGTTACATCTACATGATGCGCCCTTCACGTTGTCCCATCTTCTCCCCCGAAAATTGACGCCAAATTCTCATTATATGTCCCCACAATCTCTACCATGCCCCCAAAAACTCAACCCTGTCTCCCATCCAAACCTTTAGCCATGTTCCCCACCCAAATCTTCGCCATGTTCTCGTCAAACCTTAACCATGCACCCCTCTAATCTTCAATACCCCTTTCCCAACCCTTGACAACGTTTCTGCCAAACGCTGTGCCAGCTGATATCACTGCAGATCGTTTCAGGCGTGCTTGCTTGCTTCCCGCGCGTGCGTGAATGCTCGCAGCCGCGCGCGTCTGCGGTGAGCGGCGGTCCGCCGACGATGCCGCATGCCTGCGCGTAGCGTGATAGTCTGACATACGCAGTCTCTCGTCTGCTGAAACCGCCGCCAAATAAAGCGCAGCCACGGCTGAAAGCACGTCCGTGGTTCGGCGCGACGCGCGTGCTTCAACAACGCGAGCATTCGTTAGGATCCGACGACGCACACGCATTGAGTAGTGCCTCGCTCCAACTCTCGTCAACATCTCACGTACGTGGGGCGCTGGCATCAGCAATGGGCCGACGTTGAAGATGTGCACATAATAAGCGTGAATTTACGGTGTATATATATATATAGGCTATATATATATACAGTCGGAGCATAACCGTGCGCGATAAAATAACCGTGCGCGATAAAAACGCTTTTATTTCAAGCTTATACGAGCACCAGCTGACGCAATAGGAGCGCTAAATGAGCAAAAGAAGCAAGCACCTCTCGCACGCACCCACTCACCGCGTGAGGTGATGCAGCAGCGGGTGTACACGGCGTTGTATGCGTGCGTGTCTTGTGCCTGGCGTTGCATGCTAACACCATGCTCCCGCCCCCGCCGCTGCCGCCGCCTCCGCCTCCGCGTTTTTCCGATCGATGCTCACACCGCGTGTCTTTCTACCTTGCAGACCACGAATCGTGACGTAACAAGATCTGCGCTCGCATCTAAAAGCGGTTAGAGGGTGTTGCAGCAGCGAGGACTCGGTCGCTACCGGCGATACACACTGCAGTGACGACGCACGTGGTCGACAAAAGCAGCGTATAGTCGGACTGCCGGCTGTGGCACAGCCGCGCACGCACGCGGGGTTGTTGTTGTAAATAGCTGTGGGTGAGTGGACTGCGTGCAGCGCGCACACACACACACGCCATGGCCGTCACCGTGCTGGTACGACAGTTGACTGTCGTCTGTCTCTTGCTGACGTCACTCGCCGCACTGGCGTCCGGTGAATCGTTCTTCCTGTCACGTGATCACACCGACCGATTGCGATACATGCGTACACAGAATCGAAACCAAGTCGCCACCGAACTGGATGCCGCGGTAAGTGTGTGACACATGTATATATATATATATATATATATCCGATTCCGCACTCAAACACGACAACGGCTCGGTTTCGCGAGCATTTTTGCTCCTCCCGCCGCGTGCTTCTATCGACCCACCCGACTGCTATCTAAACACGCGATCTACTGTCCAATTAAGGCATCCGTGTCACCAGGGGGCGCTCTCGGCCGCGTCGCTTTGACCTCGTTTACGAGCGTTTCGTCGTGTACTATTTTGACGAGGTACTTAGCGAGTGGCCGCGGCAGATGGCGGCGGTGGGGAATGCCCCGTGTCCGCCGTAACGGCGAGGGAAGCCAGCAGACGCCGCGACCCGCCGCTGCTACCGGCGTTGAGGGCGGTGCGCGCGACTGGATACGAAACAACACATGCCAGGTTCCCGGGGGCGCGTGTTTAGGCGGCAATTTGGTTACGGAAACTAATTTCACTCGCCGGAAATAAAGATTGTCGGCGTGATATCGTGTCTAGCCTAGGCTCAAACACTAGACGTTTCCGCATCTGTGGTAAACGTCATGTAGGAGGAGTAGTATTCAGGTAAAAGGTGCCATCCATTCTAATATACAACTCCTGATACTCTACTGAATTAACTTGGAATATGTCACAGTATGTATGAAGCACGTGGCACCAACAACACATGATACCTATTATGACATAGTAAATAGACTAACCACAATCAGGACATGCTACTTTGGTGTCGACGAAAGAATAATTTTGGTTAGATAATAGAATCGTGTGTCACGCATTTTGAGGTTGGCCCGCAGCCACTATCATAATGTTCATAGACTGTTCAACAATGCATATTGTATCGTTACACGACCATAGTTAAGATTCGCGTGCTTATCCGGGTATCTACGCAGAGCTGAGAGAGTAACAAAAACAATTAGACCTTCTTTTTCGTTTAAACGCCATGATTCTAGAAGATATCATTCGCTTACGGCCACAGCCCGGGCAGCCAAGAGCTGACCTGCGTAACCTAATTCAGTCGTTAGAGCAACTGTTTCGCCCTCAACTTGTTATTGCGTAGAATAAAGCTCGCGGCGGCAGCGTTAGCTAGAGGAAGCCATGTTATACGACGTAATTACATCGGCGTACCTGCGCGCTACGTGCTGACCTCATGACCTTACGTCGTCGGCAGTGACGTGATCCTCTGTGGCGGACCCGCTTGCGTGCGGCACGCGAGATTTACATTTATGTAGGCACATCGATGGTCCAGTTACGAAGCTCTGTGTAACTAGGTGAGCGCTTAGATGCTATAATATATGGCAATATTTCACGATTATTCCGGAAGCCCTCTGGGGGAAAAGACGGCGGATGACTGAGCAAAAGGTGAACAGTACACTGAAGTAGCCAAACACGCACTAAACCGCGCGATAACGTCGCCGGGGGGGGGGAGTAGTTGTAAAATCAGCTATTATATATTTTGATCATTATCCATAAAAAAGTGGTTCAAACGGTTATTCGACTATCTGCCGATCGTATCAAAGACGTGTTTCACACGCCCGCGCGCCTGGAAATAGCGCAGACGGTTAAAACATTGCTATACGAAGTCATTAGTCATCCATAAACATATTGCCAATGATGTAAGTTACATTTTCACCCGGACCTACAGCGACTCGCTAAAGCCATGCACCATCTGGCCCCCGCGGTGTACCTGCTAAAGCCTTGGCCGACGCTCTTACAACATTTCGATCGTTTCAAGATCAAGAAAATATACAGAAACTTTTTCCGTATTAATCAGGTTTGTGCTTGTACAAGCTGATTGAATATTTTGTCTCGCAGGGCGCATATGAAGAAAAAGTCGGAAATCCAGGGTCTGAGCAATAAAAATAAGCTCATGATAAGATCCCTGGTCTGAGTCATTATACTTACTTCTGCTTTGCACTGGTATAAGTAATTCTCGGTAGATGTCAGCCGAAAATAAGAGCTAGCACTTAATTAAATCTAAATAGTGTTTCAAATGCGGAAACATTGTGCAACAGTGCGCGTGCCACCCGGTGAATCAACACTACGAGAGAAATGTGCGAGAACTCGTTCGCAAAATAAATATGAATCTTCCAGACGCCCACAAATCATCAGATTACATTTACATTTACTTTTACTTTTACTTTTACTTACATTGCCACTCTCACTCGTAGCATCCGTTAGTTGCGCGATATATATATATATATATATATAGAGAGAGAGAGAGAGAGAGAGA